TCTTGCTCCAAACAGGACTCCCATTCATTCACAATGCCCTTACTCTAGCTTAAGCTCACACCACTTACAATATAGTCTATGAGTCTCTAAACTACCCTCTGATCTGTCTGCATCCTAACCCATCCCTTAGGCCAAAGTCAAAACAAACAATACAACAACAAACTTAGTGCCAAAGCCGACTCTGCTCTGCTCAGAGCGACCCTCCCTACAAGGAGGAGTACAACTGCCCCACGGGGTTCCCACAGCCCCCGGGAACGGCCCATCTCTGCTAGCCACTGAACCACGAGGGCTCGCTCTCCCTCAGTCAGTGTTAGATGACTATGTGTGCACTCTCCTAGAGAGAGCTTTCAAAGGAGCCCGGGGCACCGTCGAGCCCGTGCTGGACTGCCAACTGTGGAGTCAGCAGTTCAAACCTATCAGCCCCATCACAGGACAGAGCCAAGGATGTCTGCTTCCTCCCGTAAAGACCCCAGCCTGTCTGTCCTCAGTCGGAATGCACTCAGTGGCAGTGGGATTGGGTGGGTGGGTTTTATTCTGTTTGTTGCTGTTGTTGTTTTAGTGTTGTCTGCATTGAACTCAGGTAGGAATGAGATCTGCTCATGCCAAGCCAGGCAAAAGGCATTTCACCTCCCTAACCGTGGTTCCAACTCTAAAACTCTGAGAACAGACCTACTTCAGTGCCTTGGAAGGCGCTCTGGTGAGCTGTACCAGAAAGCTGGCGGTCTGCTCCCAAAGAGACGTTCAGCCTTGGAAATGCAATGAGTCAGTCTATGTCTGATGAGGTCACGATGACTCGAAATTTGATTAGACAGAAATGGGTTTAGTTCAGGTTTGATGAGTGCCCCCAGACTCACTGACACATCTGTGACCCTATGGTTTCAATCATCAATCAGAGAGGCCCGCCCAACCCACACCCTCTTACCTACACCCCTACTGTCCTCTCATTAAGTACTCTAACACAGCCGTCTGCTTGTTCTCGCGGCACTTCCCAGAACCAGTCCTGAAACGTACAGTTGTGTCTGCTTATATAATCCTACTGCTAGTGCATACACTGTTAAGGACTAGAAATAGATCTTACTAGTACATATCAAGTTATTATTACCAAGCAAAAAATGCTCATCTTACCAGCCCTTAACAGGCCAATATTGTACTCAGATCGCTTCAGAAACACAGAAAACTAGGTGGTACCGAAATAATAACCATTCTTTACAAGAAGCAAACTAACTCAGCAGGTTCCTTCTTAATGCTTGACAACCAATTCGAGGTTACCATTACGATTACTTGGTCAGTGACCTCAGTAGGTGTACATTCATTCATGTCTGGAGATGCTCACAATCTACTTGGAGTAAAACGTAGTTTGTATACAACACAATGAGAGACTATTCAAAGCCCACAGGTAGTGCACGACAGACGAGGGCTTTTCCAGGTCATTCTGGGCCCGAGCTGGGGAAAGCTTCATCAAAGGGCTGCAGATCCAAGCACAGCCCCCAGATCAGGAGCCACAGAGGGCGACATACAAATGGGCACAAGACCCCAGAGGGGCAAGTGAGAAACAGACAAATGCATTTAGACTTCATCCTACAAAGCACACAGAGCTGCTTTACGCAGCAAAGTACCAGGAATGGGATGCTTGAGAACATTTAGTCAGACAACAGCTGTTACGTCTTTTGAGCTAGCCAGAAGCCAACTTGGAACAACTGGAATGCACAGAAACAAACCTTCTATAAAGAACCACAGTCCCCCCACTATCATGATCCCAATTCTACCTTGCAAGTCTGGCTAGACCAGAGGATGCACACTGGTGCAGATAAGAACTGGAAACACAGGGAATCCAGGGCAGATGATCCCTTCAGGACCAGTGGTGTGAGTGGTGATACTGG